TAATCAAACACTTTTAAACAATATGCTAAAGCCAGAAGTTCCCTCCTTAAAAACCATGTATAGTGTTTCTTTACGACACTAACGACCAATTAGTAAATCCCGTTACAATAAAATGAAGTATAAAACAAGGCGCACGCGAAACGAACAACGCGAGAAAGAAAAAATGAATAAACTAACAAATATATTTGCATCAATTTTGTTAATTCTGTTCTCATTCGCATTCTATTTGACAATTTCCTTCACGCCACTTACAAAGGACGAGCAGATGGAACGCTACAACAAGATGACAGAGAACGTAGAACCATTTAGGAAGAACTTGACTGAATGTGCGCGCCAGGTCAAAGCTTCGATGGCGGACGTCGAGAACTTCATAAAACGGATCCCACAGGCGTCCTTGCAAGGGAAATGTTTCGTCGCCTGCATTCTCAAACGAAACTCAATAATAAAGAACAACAAAATTAGCAAAGAACATTTATTAGACGCTAATAGAGCTGTTTATGGCGAGGATAGTGAAGTGATGGCTCGTTTAAAAATTGCTGTAAGCGAGTGCACGAAGGCAGTCGAAGGAATATTTGAAGTTTGTGAATACGCGTCCGTTTTTAACGATTGTATGCACATTAAAATGGAACATATCCTGGACCAGGTGACGATGGAGCGGCGTATGGAAGCGATAGGAAAGATGACGTCAAATCCTGACCAATGGACCGAAGAAGAAGATGAGATCTTGAAGTTGGTCAAAGATGAATTATAGACTTTTGTTGATTGTATTATAATGTAAGTTTAAGTAGCGGACTGGGTTTCTATCTAAACTTTTCTTAGATGATCACTTAATTCATTTAATATCGAGAGATAGAACGTAAGAATGATCACTGTATACTATTTAATAGGTACTACAATATGTAAGCATCATCATCTATGTTTCATTTCATAGTTTTCAAGTTAGATTAATATGTATATTACCTACATATTAAAGTTACCAAGTTGATTGTAACTTCATTTCCATTAAAACCACCTTCATCACTACATAGTATAAAACAAAGTGGTTATCCGCCGTCTATCTGTCCCTATTTTGATGTGGTTTTTTTAAAAGATGGAGTGTATTTTAAACTGTCAAACACCGCGAGGACACCGGTGTACGCACACCTATTGTTCTTTAATTGTGTCTATAATGACGGTACTCAAAGGGTTAAGGAAGGTTTATATGTAAAATACATGCATATTGCACCCGTGCTAAGCCGGGGCGGGTCGCTAGTAGCTTATAAACCCATAAATAAAACAAAATATATTACGAAGAAATTTTAATTCTTTTCGAAATCACCTAATAATAACTTCGATATGATTCACTTAAAATTTACAGTAGAAGCGCACAATACAAAACAAATTGGACACACACTTGCTCCACTTGTCGATAATCACATGGTGGGTACAATATCTTAGGGCGACTAAATTCCATTCTATCAATGTTCAAAAACAGGTTAATATCTATTTCATTGTTACATATTAAAAAAATATCTGAACCAAAATGTTGTAGTAGAGCAGTAACCACGACATTTTTATTTAAAGAACTTAGTTCAAAATTAACTGCAGACCGCCAGGGTCGCACAGCTTAACATTAATAAAAAAGGAGCATTCATAAACTTCGTTGTAAAAGGTTACTTAACATCTATACATACAAATTACAAAATAAAATAAATAGGTTTAAAAAAATCAGTTCACAACGAATCCCATACGTAGTCGACGTTTCTAATTCTTGAGGAAGATTTTTTCATATTCAAGTACAATTTATATTACGACATTACCCACTGGCTAATTGTTCATTTTTGATAATAAAATTCGTTCATATAAAAGTAATGTCTGACTATTGGAAATAAGGTATATAATGGAGTGAGTGAGAGAGGACACCGATGTTCTCTCAGGGATTTAGAGGTAAGGCTAGCAATCGAACAAAGATTATAGGTGACAAGCCTTCTAAGGTAAGGTAAGTAAGACTAAAGGTAAAATACCTCACAGTAATATATTCAAGAGTGAATGAGTAATAATTGGCACTAAGTATGGAAGGTGCTGATCTGGAAGTCTTTGGGAGAATCTTATGTTCAATTTCACTGAACGGTTGAAGCGGTGACTGAGCAACCGGCTGCCGCGCAACGTGTAGCGAGTTCGATTCCTGCACGGAGCAACTCTGTGTTATCCACAAATTGGTGTTTCGAGGACAGGAGGAGTTTCCACGACACTTGGAATGGGGCAACTTTATTATGAAAAAAAGAAAATTAGACATCCTGTGGCTGAAATGAAGACAATCAGAACAGACATATTTAAAATTTTCGTTATTATGTGTTAATTCGGTAATCCAATGCCGTAACATAAATTACTACTGAACAATTTGTTACTAAATCAACAATTTTTCCCTCAAATAAGTTTGCCTAAACAAAAAGGCTAAAATAACAGTTTCATGCACTCTTTTACACAAGTAGATAGAAGACATCGAATGTACATTTTTTCCTAAATTATCTAATACTAGCACTAAACCCGTTAGTGGGCTGTTGAGCTGTTGTTCCGTACATAAAATAACACCATTTTACAAGTGGACTGATGCTAAAAAATATTACAAAAAAAAACACGTGTATTAAAATTTTAAAAAGTCAAAAAGCTACTGTTAACTGGAATATTTCATTTATATCAAACATTTTCCACATATTTCCGTCTACATGAATAAATTTCTAATAGACTAAATATATTATATTGTTGGCTCAAAAATTATCTAGCTACGTCTCGATAAAATTTGTAGTGATGACAATTAATATTATAGTATCAATCGATAACACCGAATATCGTAAAAATTTCGAACAAATATAAATTCAGTGAAAAATTCATTTTAATATTTAGTTAAATACACATCAGACCACAAAAATGGGTGCAACAATGAACATTTTTAAATATATACCTTACAAATTATCAAAAACAAGTGATCCATATGAAAATGGTTAAATACAATTACTTTATTACCAGATGATACCTATTAAAATTACATTCTAAAAACTAAGGTATCATACAGTCTTAGTTTCATCAAAATTCTATTTAAAAACCCAAAAACGTTACGTTAAAACATTCTTTTATATAAATTAGTATTCACTATTATACATAAATAGTTTAATCAACCGTTTCATCAGCTAAAATATTATATATAACTTCAGTATTTTGAAGTCATGTCTACTAATGACTTAATATCATAAGTAAAACGAGGATACAAGAAAACAATAATATGGCAGTGTCCTACAACTAAAAATAATGTAATATTGTTAAAAAATAGTAAGCGTATATTGAATTCTAATAATTAATTGTAAAATTATATTTAATGTAAAATACAAATAATTATTTTATTTCATATAAGTAGATTAAGCTCAAAATATTAAAAATATCGTCTATGTTTTGCAAGTAGGTATATTGGTAAGTATCACTATATCAACACTTCGTTCAAAATTATTATGGCTAATTGAATTATTTTTGTAAAACTATTCGATGCCGTTTACATGCACGCGAGTGTATTTAGAACTAACGGTGTTTTATAATCAGAGACATTAGAAAACGAAAAGAAAATATTAGTTATTTTTTGTATTAAAAATTAATTTTACTAATATTTTAAATCCGAAATTACAGATAACAGATCTCTCATATGTGTGTCTGTTTGTTAAGACATATGATGATGATTAAACTAGAGTTTTTGTTGCTCGTTTTTCTCTATACCATCTTTAGAACGCGCAAATAACTTCAATATGGGAACAATCGGAATCTTTGTCTTTATTTCAAAAAAACGACTCGATTTCTTAATGTATTATCTTGTAAAAGGATCAGCGGAACCGACTCTTTTCCGTCAAACTTTATTAGATATTTAACTTTTTTGTTTCAATATAAAGTCGAAAATTAAAAGCAAAGAGAAAATAACAGATTGACATGCTGGCTAAACATAACTTTATACATTTTTCACGTCAATATAATGTCTCTAATTACCAAACCACCTTTTATTTCTCTAATATCAGCTATACATACTTGACAAATTAAGATCAAAACAAAATATACACGCCACACCGAGTAGCCTTTATCATCGACTTTACTTTAATACTACAAAAATACTTCATTTTTTAATGGACACTTTTATTTGGCCCACATTGTTATATTAAAAAATAACATTCTCCAAATGAGTCAGGAAGAATATTTACAGAACAATTAGCAGTAACGGTCAGTCAAGTCAAAATGGATTCTTGGATATTTTTTTTGTTTGTAAAAGGAATCTAAATATTGTATAACAGTTCATACAATGAGTATTGTGATAATTTCTCATTTTATATAATTATTGAGTTTGTAAAACATGTTTATATCAACACTAGGTATTTGAGAAAAGACTTATGGAATTTGTGACGATCGTATTACATTTCATGTAAGTCATAGAAAAATCAATGTATATTATTTATCACACATAAAAAAGTATTTTGTCATTCAAATTTTAAACTGCAACATGATTGGTTATTAACTAAAAATCGCGCGTTACTCAAGTGAATATACTGAGAAAAGCTCTACTAGTTTCGAACTACAGAGGGGTTCTTTCTCATGAACAGCGTGCGCGGTCGCGAGGTCGCGGTCGAGTAACCCGCGATTTTAAGTTAATTTAGTGTCTCACGATAGTTATTATAAAAACGTGATTGGATATTTCTATAAAGTCATTAAAAAAAATATTAGGTACTAGAAACCTGAAAACGCGCTATTGCATTATGGCTGGTTATTTGAGCAACAAATTAATATTCAGTTTTAAACTCACTCAGTGAAACTGACTTCAACAATAGACCTTACTGCTAACGAAATAAAACCTTTCACTGATAAGTATAATGTGAAACTACGTTTTACTTTCCTTATAAAAGAAGCTATGGACATTGGGCCGCACATTAAAATGTTCCCGTCACAATTATGTACTAGAATAAAGTCCCGAACCTCGAAGGTGTAGGCCTTTGTCATTCAGGCGGGCAGCTCTGTACGAAGGACGCAGGGAACAGGCCAGTGCGACCGGTTCGCTGCAGCGTACCTTTGTACCAACCGTCTCCTCTCTTTTTCGACACAATCACTATATCATCCACTTTTAGTTCTAACTCGTATTCCGAGTTAGGCGGATACGGGACTATGCAGCGAAATCTGTAAAAAAAAGAATTAAATAATAAAAATCTAGGCATTTAATTTATCAGTTATCACTATGTAGCTGGTCGAATAATGGTATAATTTAAAAAAGGGCAAATACATACTTTTTTACACCACTGCGGTGACTTAAAATGGAGAGAACGTTAAAGTCTTTGGAAGTTTTTAATGAATTTGATTAATATAATGAATATATGACCTTTTACTTAAGACAGTCAGGGCCGGAGTTAGGGGGGGGCAACCGGGGCGAAAGCCCCGGGGCCCCCACAAGCAGGGGGCCTCCACAATAGACTTCGGAAAAAAAAATCTTTCAAATTTCAACTAGTAAACCTAGTAAACATCTTTTCTTTGATATTTTTTTTTTTCGCTTTTACCTTTACCTACAGCCTAAAGTACTTTATACATACATGATTAAATTTGATTATATTAATTTTAAATATTAACAGAAACAGAAATCATTGATCTATATTTGTTCACTCCAATCAGGCAATCAGTGAAATATCAAAATCTCAAATGGCTCTGATAAGCACTTCCAATTTACTACCCATCTTGAAGGAGTACCCCAATGGCTCAATGGCTCAGTGGGATGGTACTTGCCCGCAACCTCGGAGGTTGGCTATTCGATTCCGTGTCTCGACCATTAAAAAAATTAATTGCAGTATGTGAACAATTGGTATTCTTCAATTCTTAAACTCGAAATCTGTCGAGCGTCCTCGAAATCTATCGAGCATCCTCGATCGTTTTCGAGCGTCCTCGAAATCTATCGAGAGTCCTCGATCGTTTTCGAGCGTCCTCGAAATCTATCGGGCGTCCTCGAAGTCTATCGAGCGTCCTCGAAATCAATCGAGCGTCCTCGAAATCTATCGAGAGTTCTCGATCGTTTTCGAGCGTCCTCGATCGTTTTCGAGCGTCCTCGATTGTTTTCGAGCGTCCTCGAAATCTATCGAGAGTCCTCGATCGTTTTCGAGCGTCCTCGAAATCTATCGGGCGTCCTCGAAATCTATCGAGCGTCCTCGAAATCTATCGGGCGTCCTCGAAATCTATCGAGCGTCCTCGAAATCTATCGAGAGTCCTCGATCGTTTTCGAGCGTCCTCGAAATCAATTGAGCGTCCTCGATTGTTTTCGAGCGTCCTCGAAATCTATCGAGCGTCCTCGAAATCAATTGAGCGTCCTCGATTGTTTTCGAGCGTCCTCGATTGTTTTCGAGCGTCCTCGAAATCTATCGGGCGTCCTCGAAATCTATCGAGCGTCCTCGAAATCTATCGAGAGTCCTCGATCGTTTTCGAGCGTCCTCGAAATCTATCGGGCGTCCGCGAAATCTATCGAGCGTCCTCGATCGTTTTCGAGCGTCCTCGATCTCAATCTGGAAAATAATTTGGGGCAAGGGGGCCTCCACTCCTTTGTTGCCCCGAGGCCTCTGGACCCCTAAATCCGGCCCTGAAGACAGTGAAAAATTGTAGTAATTATACTTGAAAATGTCGTACAGGTTCTCCAAATTAGTTTCAAAAAGTCCTATTTAGTTTTCACTAGGTAACTTTTTTTCTTTATTATTCCAAGAGCAGTAATAAGAAAGTCTTACACATGGTCAAATTATATCGTTTAGTTAGGGACGCTTGTATATAGATAGATTTAAACAATGTTATATTTACCTTTCTTTATTCGGTTGCGAGTGGTGTCTGTCTCGCCTCGAAGCCGTCACGTCTAATGATTGCGACTTTCTATGTTGTGACTGCCACGGGTTTTCTGTACCGGTTCTGTAATTAATTTATTTATTATTGAATAAATATATATACAGATAATATGACTGCACGGTTGGTGCGGTGGCTGGGCAACCAGCTGCCGTGCAACGTGTCGCGGGTTCGATTCCCGCACGGGACAACACTTTGTGTGATCCACAAATTGTTGTTTCGGGTCTGGGTGTCTTTGTGTTTGTGAACTTGTATGTTTGTAAACGCACCCACGACACAGGAGAAAATCCTAGTGTGGGGCAACGTTTTTTTTTTTAAAAAAAAAAAAAAAAAAAAAAAAAAAAAAAAAAAAAAAAAAAATATATTTACTTAACACGTTAACCGCCGCGTAGGTCACCGGTAACCTACGTTAGCGGAGGATTTGCCTTCAGCAGTTTTTTGTCGGCAGTCAAAGGTTTAAATGATCGCAATGGTATGTATGGTAAATAAGTTAGGGTGTTGCTTTCGATTTCGTACCGATTGGTCTTTAGAGCGGTAGTGCACTTTGGTTTTGGGAATGATAAGACAAGCAATCATGTGTTAGTTTTGGCCGTTTAGAGCCGGCCAATCAGAGCGCCGAACACGGTCTTGTTTCTATTACTTTAAATGTAAATCGTACTAAGCCCTCTAATTGTGAGTAAAGTACTTGTGTCTGTTATTAATTACGGTTACTTATCTAATGACAAATAAACTAAACATTTTCGTATTCCTAAGGCTATTCCTACAAATTATCTTTATCATGTCTAAGAAAACCAACAGTTAGAAACTTTATTACCTAAAGAACAAAGGACGCGTTAGTAGATTGCAACACCACAAACATTAAATAGTTTGACAATCATGAAAGGAGTATGAAAGCAAAACAGGAATCAGACCATGCTCATGAATACAACATGTTGATGATAGACACAGAAGGGACCTTCGACACTCACATTTAACATAAGCGTGTGTGTGCGTGTGTGAGGTGAGAGGGATGTGTGTGTGTGTTTACATACAACCTGTGCAGATGGTGGTGATGTTCGTGCAGGGGCGCCGGTGTGGGCCGCTCCTTGTGTGTGCGTGTGTGAGGTGTGAGGGATGTGTGTGTGTTTGCATACAACCTGTGCAGATGGTGGTGATGTTCGTGCAGGGGCGCCGGTGTGGGCCGCTCCTTGTGTGTGCGTGTGTGAGGTGTGAGGGATGTGTGTGTGTGTTTGCATACAACCTGTGCAGATGGTGGTGATGTTCGTGCAGGGGCGCCGGTGTGGGCCGCTCCTTGTGTGTGCGTGTGTGAGGTGTGAGGGATGTGTGTGTATGTTTGCATACAACCTGTGCAGATGGTGGTGATGTTCGTGCAGGGGCGCCGGTGTGGGCCGCTCCTTGTGTGTGCGTGTGTGAGGTGTGAGGGATGTGTGTGTATGTTTGCATACAACCTGTGCAGATGGTGGTGATGTTCGTGCAGGGGCGCCGGTGTGGGCCGCTCCTTGTGTGTGCGTGTGTGAGGTGTGAGGGATGTGTGTGTATGTTTGCATACAACCTGTGCAGATGGTGGTGATGTTCGTGCAGGGGCGCCGGTGTGGGCCGCTCCTTGTGAGTGCGTGTGTGAGGTGTGAGGGATGTGTGTGTGTGTTTGCATACAACCTGTGCAGATGGTGGTGATGTTCGTGCAGGGGCGCCGGTGTGGGCCGCTCCTTGTGTGTGCTGTGTGTGTGTGTGAGGTGTGAGGGATGTGTGTGTGTGTTTGCATACAACCTGTGCAGATGGTGGTGATGTTCGTGCAGGGGCGCCGGTGTGGGCCGCTCCTTGTGTGTGCGTGTGTGAGGTGTGAGGGATGTGTGTGTGTGTTTGCATACAACCTGTGCAGATGGTGGTGATGTTCGTGCAGGGGCGCCGGTGTGGGCCGCTCCTTGTGTGTGCGTGTGTGAGGTGTGAGGGATGTGTGTGTGTGTTTGCATACAACCTGTGCAGATGGTGGTGATGTTCGTGCAGGGGCGCCGGTGTGGGCCGCTCCTTGTGTGTGCGTGTGTGAGGTGTGAGGGATGTGTGTGTGTGTTTGCATACAACCTGTGCAGATGGTGGTGATTTCGTGCAGGGGCGCCGGTGTGGGCCGCTCCTTGTGTGTGCGTGTGTGAGGTGTGAGGGATGTGTGTGTGTGTTTGCATACAACCTGTGCAGATGGTGGTGATGTTCGTGCAGGGGCGCCGGTGTGGGCCGCTCCTTGTGTGTGCGTGTGTGAGGTGTGAGGGATGTGTGTGTGTGTTTGCATACAACCTGTGCAGATGGTGGTGATGTTCGTGCAGGGGCGCCGGTGTGGGCCGCTCCTTGTGTGTGCGTGTGTGAGGTGTGAGGGATGTGTGTGTGTGTTTGCATACAACCTGTGCAGATGGTGGTGATGTTCGTGCAGGGGCGCCGGTGTGGGCCGCTCCTTGTGTGTGCGTGTGTGAGGTGTGAGGGATGTGTGTGTGTGTGTTTGCATACAACCTGTGCAGATGGTGGTGATGTTCGTGCAGGGGCGCCGGTGTGGGCCGCTCCTTGTGTGTGCGTGTGTGAGGTGTGAGGGATGTGTGTGTGTGTTTGCATACAACCTGTGCAGATGGTGGTGATGTTCGTGCAGGGGCGCCGGTGTGGGCCGCTCCTTGTGTGTGCGTGTGTGAGGTGTGAGGGATGTGTGTGTGTGTTTGCATACAACCTGTGCAGATGGTGGTGATGTTCGTGCAGGGGCGCCGGTGTGGCCGCTCCTTGTGTGTGCGTGTGTGAGGTGTGAGGGATGTGTGTGTGTGTTTGCATACAACCTGTGCAGATGGTGGTGATGTTCGTGCAGGGGCGCCGGTGTGGGCCGCTCCTTGTGTGTGCGTGTGTGAGGTGTGAGGGATGTGTGTGTGTGTTTGCATACAACCTGTGCAGATGGTGGTGATGTTCGTGCAGGGGCGCCGGTGTGGGCCGCTCCTTGTGTGTGCGTGTGTGAGGTGTGAGGGATGTGTGTGTGTTTGCATACAACCTGTGCAGATGGTGGTGATGTTCGTGCAGGGGCGCCGGTGTGGGCCGCTCCTTGTGTGTGCGTGTGGCCGGCGGCAGCGCTCGCAGCAGTTGCGAGGGGCATGAGCCCGACCTGTACCCACACCGTTAGTACGCTACGTGCCAATGTCAAATATATCTGGCTAATATTAAATACGAAATTGTTTCATTTTAAAATAATAGAATAATAATTTTAGATTAAATATAATAAAATTAACATAACCAAAATCATAAATATGTTAAGTCGAATGCACATATTCTGTAAAATCTGTAAAATTATTCGGGTATTCAACATCTTTTTTTAATAAATTAATATGAGAACGATAATATATTCGACATTGGTCCGCAGCAAGGAACACACGTGGAACACAAATGCAGTGACAATGAGTGCTGTTAGGACAAATTACATTCAAGCACACACAATTTGTTTGACCACAAACATGGTATTGTCAAATACTCAAACGAGAAACATATTTATAATTAAAATTGCTTGAAAATACCTTATTGTAAATTATTATTATAATGACACAAAAACATGAAACAAATGCAACGCATGACGCGATGCCATAATAAAATGTATGAATATTTAAACACGGAACCACATCCAACCGACCCATAAATCCGGCCCTGTCATCAGCGTGTGGCGCCCTTCACTTCGCGACCCAGTGAAACAGGGTCGTATTTGGTATTCTGTTTGCAATACTATGTATGTATTAATAATATGGGAATTTATCCCACAAACTTTATATAAAGTTAATCTTATTTAACACGTTAAACGCCATAAGGGTTCACCGGTGACCTGGGTTAGCGGAGGATTTACCTTCAACAGTTTTTTATTGGCAGTCAAAGTCTTAAGTACGAATATAAAACAGTGTTTGAGTATTTGAGTTTAAATCACATAAATAGGTTTAACGACGCATACATACAAAGGATTGGTTTAACAGATTTCAGATATTTTCCAAGACAATGCTTTGTTATAACGAGTTGACATTCACACAATACTTACTTTTCTCAAGATGCAATAATAATAAAAATCATTATTTGTATCAGTATTTGAGTAAAATTCTTAAAGGCTAGTATTTGTTTTGTTAAACCCTTTATCCCTTCTAACTAAATGTGTGATTACGATACAAAAGTAAGGTAGCTTGTCGGCGATGCACGCATGAGTTCCGGCGTGGATTGAAATGAATCGAGCATCCTTGAAAAGTTTACTTCAGCCGTATTTTTAACTAACCGATTTTAATTTTATTGCAAATCTTTTTGAGTAATCTAAAAGATTGTAGTAGATTAACATCATTAGGTTTATAGAATCAAATAGTTTAAGGACACTGACCTCACATGTACAGGGTGATGTTGTGAGTTGGTGTTTAGCATCAATGACGTGCCGGGTCCATCTTCGAACACTGGATTATCCATACTGTACCCAGTGGGAGGTGGCGACTTGCATTTCTTCATAGCAGCCAAACGCTTCATCAAACTTACGCCTGTTGATATTGAAGATTTCTCTGCTTTCGATTTTTCTTTCGGCTGTTTAGGACAAAATTAATGAGTATTTTATTTTGTTATTATCACTAATACTAACATTTACTTTGGTCTAGTTTAAGGTATGGTTACCGGGGTAGACAAATTTTTTATGGGGTAAAGGAGCAGAGGGATCACCTGATGGTAAGCAATCGGCGTCGCCCATTGACACATGGAACACCAGATGCGTTACCGGCCTTTTAGGTTTAGGAATTTGAGGATTGTTGGGGATTCAGGGATTGGGGAATAAGGGGGAGGGGGGTTAATTGGGTCTCCGGTAACCTGACTCACACGACGATACACTACGCTTGTGTTGTGTTTCGTCGTGTGAGTCGGTCGTGTCGGTCGAAGTCGGTCTTCTGTGAGGCCGTGTCTTCTTATCAAGTGTTTTCTTAATACACATAATTATGTAACAATAATAGAGGTAATATATGTAAGTTCAAGAACGTCGAAGTAGTACTTTTCAGACAATCTAAAACGTGCTGTCATACAGGGTGAAAATGGAACAAAATGAACTTATTGATTTTACGATTTTAATCATTTTTGTGTATTTGTTTGCATTTTATTCATGCAACATCAGCCTTGACCAGTTGATTACAGCTATTATTATATAAAAGAAACATTGTATTCCTTACTTATATGAAAATAAAACTAGTTTTTTACGTTTTTTACCATCACTGGTCGGCATTACACCCTGTATTACGATTTCAATTTGGACAAAAGCTATATTACTTAATTTGGAACTTAAGGTTATCAACTTAGGATTAACTTGATACCTTGATTATAACTTTCCAGTAAATTGAGTAGCTAACTAACCTTTTCCGATCTCGGCGTGCTTTGCTGTGATTGGGCAGGAGAACACCATGGGTACGTCAATGGTTGAGCTGTAACATTTTAAATGTAAATTATTATTTGTGTTGTAACAAGTTGACAATATGACAATAATTGGTGTAGTGTAACCAATTAATTACTTGGACCAAGGATGTTGAGAAAAGGCGGACATAACGAAAGGCTACTCAATTTTAAGTTGAACTTAAATATCGTGCTATCTCTGTTATTTTATGTCAAATGTATTTAAATTTCCCGCCTTCTTACTAATGTTAACTTGCAACACTTTGACTATGGTCACTCTGTTCGCGCTTGTTTTTCTTGTTGTGTCGAAGTTTTAATATAAGCTCAATTTAAACATATTAGTTTCATTTATTTCAACATTTTACATAGAATTTGAAGTGATAGAACTGCGTCTTAAAATACGGTAGTTGACCAGAGCCCTTAGTACGAGTTTCTTTTACGTTTAAAGTAATCGTAACGAGTATGCGTTCGGCGCTCTGATTGGTTGGTTCATTGGCGCCGGCCAATCACAGCGCCGAACGCGTACTCGTTTCAAATATTTTAAACGTAAATCAAACTCGTACTAAGGCCTCAGTAGTAAAATTCAATTTTCAAACGATACTTTTATATGAATTTTGTATTGGATCGCAACTTATGACGTCATCTTATTTCTGCATCAAATAGCATACTTATTTCCTTAAAATTGACGAGAAAAAATGCAAAAGTAGGTAAATTGTTAAATCAATGGATAAGAGTATGAAAGAAAGAAGAAAGAAAAGAAAAACAGTTTATTTACACCATTACAGAAAAGACAAGAAAAAAAAGTAGCAAAAAAAAATGTCGTGTCACGAGCGCGATTGCTCGAGTATGATTATTTTTTAGTTATTTATTGCATTGAAAAATTGTAACAATTTACTTTAAACCTTAGAAACTAGCCAATTAAGTGACATTTGAGTATTTATACATAAGTCACTTAGAAATGATTGAAGCACCAAAATGTCAGTGGGATATTTATGTGCGTGTACGTACCACGTTACCAGACCTTAAGAAAATTACAGATGTCCTTCATGTCAATGTGTGTATGTTCTGTGTGTAAGTGTATAGTAGCGAGGTGCCATTACCGTTGTTTCTAGAGACTGTCCGCTTCTTTTCAACGTTACTTTTTTCATAAAATTAGGAATTACTTATGAATTACGAGGTTAAATTGTAAGAAACACATATTTTTCTAAACTGAATAAATCTTGTTTTTCTTTTCTACTTCTTAAAAAGAATTAATGCAATTGTGTTTCCTTGTGATAAAATTTGTATGGAGACAATATTACATTAGTAGAAGTATTTTTATGTAATGTGTCGACGATGGACCAGTATCACGCCTAGTAGTAAGCGGTGACACTAAGTAAACATACCCATGAGCAGTGCGGGGTCTCTGGCGCGGGGCGGTGCGTCGGGGGCCGAGCCACTAGGGGCCTGGGGGCCTGCACTCGGGGGGCCCGTACTAGGGGGGCCTGCAGTCGGAGGGCCTGTACTCGTGGGGCCCACCGTGCTGGGCGGCGGGGCGCTCTGCGACTGGACAACAATACACGCTCATTATTCCATGAGACATACTAATAAACTATGTACTGTGATGTACACCAGTGGCGTTATTCTATTCAATTCATAACAAAAGTGGCCGAGAAGGTTCGAAACCTGGCAAGTACTAATTGAAATTTTAACGAGTTATACTTAGATACTTCCTAAAATTACGTAGATAAGTTAACATAGTAAATTTGAAACCACTAATCACCACTTTGAGCAAGTGCGGTGACTAATAAGTCATTATTTCTACGTGTGGCAAAAGGCCTTTTTTAGGCAATAGTACAATCGCAAGGTGATAAAATTAATAAATAATAAGAAGTTACTACAATGAACAAAAGCTTATTAGTATGACTAGCGATCAGTTACCTTGTCGTGTTTAGTACGCAGATTAGAAGCGGGCGCGACGTAGTTCCCCGGGAAGACGCCGCAGCGCTGCGATCGTTCTGAGCAACCTTTGTACCAACCGTCGCGGCACCGCTCCGTCACCGTGTAGATACCTGACGGGAAAAGTAATAATAATTAATACATTAATTCCATCTATTGTGCTAAGTGCATGAAATTTAGTCCAAATACTCAAACGTCACTTCCGTCGTGCTTAAGAATACTTCTGTCACAATTAATTCTTTGTAAAATAACAGAGTTGGCACGATATTTAAGTACGACATAAAACGGAATATCCTTTCAGTATTTAGGCGTAAATAAATCAATAACTAATGTGTAATATTAGTATTACCTCCTTTCTTAAGCTCGAGTTCGTCGGGTTTCTGTGGTTTGTAGGGGTATATAGCGACGTAGGCGGCGGGCAGCGGGCGCTCGTTGCTGCGCGACCGGCGCCGGCGTCGCTCGCTGCGCGCCTCCGGGCCCGCGTCCAGCAAACTGGTCGCTAGGATCTCGGCAGAGTGCCTGCACCAGTACAATTTACAAATATCAAATAAATGGTATAAACATATTCTGTTAATTGATTACTTTATTTACATGATCGTTCTTTGTTTTTCTCAACCAAGGAAGTGTCTAGCTACACTCACCTGTTTTGAGTATTATGATTTCCCTGTAAATGTGTAGACGGCGTCAAACTGTGCCTCTTCTCCCTTTCTTTATGGTGATGATCTCTATGCGGTCTGGTTACCATATAATTCCCATCTTTTCCGTGAGAGGGCGACAGAGCCGCTTGTAGTCCTAATCCAAAATTCAAAAAAGCTTCTACATTCGTTCGCAACGGGTTTTTACTAGACGAAGGCACGTCAAGTCTTGAAGAATCATTATTGAGTGCACTTTCCTGATTATCTTCTTGTGTTTGAGAGGCATTACTCGTACCAGACGCATTCAATTTTGGACTCTCTGACGGTGGCAAGCTGACATTCAAGGACGTGTTTGTAGCTGTTGAACTTTCATTCAAACTCAACACTCCCATAGAAGTATTAAGAGACTCGTCGTTGTTAGTTTCCTCCTCTGGTAGGTTCTGATTTTGGTTTTGAATTTGAGCCGTATTGCCAGCAATGACGGTCGCATTTCGCTCGGTGTTATTGTCGGGGGAACTAGGAAGGCTCGGCTCAGCGCTCTCGCAAGTGCTCGTGTCGGAGCTCGTGTTCGGAGTGGTCGTGGAACTTACTCCGAAAGATGGCGTGTTCATACTCGAACTCGAATCAGAACTAACATTGCTAGTGTTGAAGTTGGCTACGGAGACGGGAAAATGTTCGTGCGTCCTTACGTTCTGGTAGGTATTGTCGACTTTGTGTACGGGCGTCGAGTTATAGCTGTCGTATTTGACCGTTCGTAGTCTGTCGTAGTTTTCTCCGATTCGAGAGACGCTCTGTATGCCCATGGTTCCTTGGTGGGACTTGTTGTGTACGTTGGTGAACTGTATGAGATCGAGCGAGTGTTTGGTGTGCGCGGGTTCCACGATGTTCCTGGCGTGCTGGGCGAGGGGCTGCGGCAGGAGGATCTGCGCGTGGTAGTTGGGCTGGGACTGCGACATGGCGCCCACGTTCTGGTAGGCGGCGTGCCCCGCGGCCGGCGCCGACAGGGACATCGCCGGGTAGCGCCCTGGGACTTGCTGGAATACAAACACATTGCGTTCAATAGCTCGTTTCACTTAATTTGTCTTGTTCAATAATATGTAGTATGAATCCTACAATTTGTAACAACTTAATTATTATGTTTTCGGCTTACTCACGTAGCTCTTTGACGAGGAACTCGACTAGCTTCAACCCATGTTAGAGGCTCATATTCATGAGCATGGCTAAGGTGAGTAAGCCATTACGTGAGTTAGGCATTACGTGAGTAAGCCGAACACGTAATAATTAATTTAGTATGTCTCACGAACATTGTAACAACTTTTTGCATGACATTCAGAACAAAATTGGTGAAAAGGGTACTGTAATTATATTTAATTAGTTTCTATTGCCAAATTATGATTGAAGATTGTTGAAAATCTCCTACAATATATGACGTTACCTGTTGTACATGGTGCCTGTGTTCAGAGTGCGAGGGTCGCGCCTGTTCCGGTATGGGCGGCACGGGACGGTTTAGGGGCACACTATAATCAAAAAAAAAACAATAATTTATCGATTGCTTCGTTAAAACAAGTTGACTCTTTAACCACAAAACATTATACGGTTGTAGTTTTTCAATTTCCATTTACCACCATATTGTATTAACAGGCTACTTTCCAAAAACATAAAACGAATGATCTCATGTAACAAAAATGACCTATTCAATAGTAACAAAAATAATTATTCAATTTAGATCCAGTTGTTCTGGATATTATAGATCGCGCTAATGCGCGTTCAAACAAACAAACAAACTTATATTTTTTTTTAAATGTTTGATCAAGTACAGATAAAGTTTGAACCTGTTCATAAGCTGTCTGGCTGCCTGGTTGAGTTCCACGAACGCGATGGGAAAGATACCAACACGTTGGTCGAGTCTGCCTTCCGCCCAGTTGTCGTCCACACGACGGTGCACGGTTATTATCGCCCCTATAACATTTAAAATTAAAACAATCTTAGAAATAGATCACGGATAAACAAAATCCTACTATATTGATTTATAATATACTATAACATCACGCCTTTTATTCTCGAAGGGGTAGGCAGAGGTGCACATTTTGCCACTGTATAATGTAACACCCACTTTTCACTATTTATGTTATGAGTCCCATGTAATAGGGGGTGAGCCTATTGCCATATACCGGGGACAGTTCCAGACTCCGTGCTACTACTGAGAATTTTCAAAATCCCAGTAATACTTTGCCCTACCCGGGAATCGAACCCGAGACCCCCAGTCGCACTTGTGACCACTCGGCCAACGAGGCAGTTGATTTATTTTTATAATTATAGTTGATTTTGATTATGACGTGAGAGAGCCATGCTTCGGCACGAATAGACCGGCTCGACCGGAGTGATACCACGGCCTCAAAGAAAACCGACGTGAAGCAACGCTTGCGTTGTTTGAGTGGTGTTACTGGATACCCAATTCTCTCACCAATCCGAATCCTCAAAAGGCCTGGAACACACTTAAATTGTTCTGGTATTACTGTGTCGATTGCTGACCATCAGGTGATCAATCTGCTCATTTACCGGCCTATGCCACATATTACCTTTATCAAACAGAAACACACTTCGAAATGAAAATCCACTATAATCCACAAGAATTTTAGTTGATTTTTGAGTGGCAGTAGTTTTTTATTCATTTACCTTTATCGAAAGCCAGACAGCCTTCCTCGTCAGGTGCAGACATTCGGAAGTCGTATAATGCTTTGCATAGTGCAGTAGCCACCGGTAGAGGTACCACAACCTGAAAAAATACAAAGTAACTTTTATAAATGGTATAAGGCATGATGTTATGTTAATAACACCCCACCCCCTTTTTATAGGCATGTAGGCAGAGGTGCATGTTACGGCACTTAATGCCACTGTACAATTTAACACCCAATTTTCACTATTTATGTTACAAGTCCCATGTAATAGTGAGACTATTGCCATATACCGGCCACAAATCCAGACTCCGTGCTACTATTGAGATCTTTTTAAAAAACCAAGTAATACTTCGCCCGATCCGGGAATCGAACCCAAGACCCCTTGCAGCACGATTCGCTCTTGCGATCAATCGACCAATGAGGCAGTCTATAACTTTGACTTAAGTGTAAATCATTATCAGTTGAAATACAGCCAGTAATAAACAAAGGTCTCCCCCTTAAAAGAGAGTTTGCTATAATTCCTACGCTCAATAGATGGTTCTAATCGCAGTTTAGTCACTGGTTTAGATGATTCATTGATTTAGCTACTTCATTGTAGTATGTAGGTACTGAATTTTGTATCCTATAATTGTGCTGAAGTATTTCTCATAAGAAAAATATAAAAAAAGGTACTACTATTCGTCACTCAGTAGCTGTGTACCCATATCATCTAATTAGGTCTAAGAAAGGTGTGTTTTCTAAAAAAAAAAAAAATAAGAATATAATATAGGTAACTTTACTTACAAATACCATAACCCCATCATTACAAATGCGTGTTGTTTATACACACATTACACACATTACTTACATTAAATTTAATTAATAATAAATTATTCTTCTATAAACTACATTTAAAAAAGCGACTTCAACCCCCTTTTTTGAAGCCTGTAATCAATATAGGTACTAAAACCTTCTCTTAAGTGTAACAAACACTTTTTCAGAAAATCGGTTCTGTCTATCGCGAGATAATCGCGCAAACATACATACAGGTCAAGCTTCGAACCTCCTTTTTCTCTTTTTTAAGTCGGTTAAAAACAGTTTAAAGTTAAACCACATGTCAAGCAGTAACTTTCTTTTGCAAGCATGTGGCGCACATATGATTATTAAATGTATTTTTTATAATTATTTTGTTTGCTATGACTTATGCACATTAATCAAAGCAAGATGGTCGAAATGTAATTTGTAACTGCTAAAGACAAGAAATTTTACAACAGTATGTCTCTTTTCTTTTTTAAATATTGTGGCTTTTAACTGCATTTCCTCCTTTATTATGAATGCATTTTGTGGAACACACAAAGTTGCTCCTATTTTTTTTTTTCATTTAGAGCCATGGTCGTCTTACATGGCAAAGGCCTCCCTACACTCCTAATTCCTAATCTTTGCCTAAAATGATATGACGTGACGATCGTAATCAAACAAAAGACGTCGAATTCTGAACAAAGATTGCTTCTTGATAAAAGGATCGTCACCAGAATTCTCATGCTGAACAGGCAGCTCGGGAATCGCTGTCGTGTCATCGTAAATGTAGAGGATGCTTTTAAAGAAGACCGGGGTATAGGTGTGATGTGCATGTCGAACTATGTCTTTCTCAACACTCCCATAGAAGAAGAAAGAGTTTGACGTAATGAATTATTGTTCTTTATTTTAAACGTTGCCCCACACCAGGACCTCCTGTGTCGTGGGTGCTTTTACAAACATACAAGTTCACATACACATAGCACCCAGACCTGGAACAACAATCTGCGGATCACACAAAGAGTTGTCGAACACGCAACACGTTACGCCGCAGCCAGTAGCCCAGCCAACAGCCAACGGTACAGTCACAATCAACCGTGTCAGTAGTATTATTTTAATCTTAGTGAACTCACCTGCACGTATGCCAGTGGGAACATGCCAGTCCTTCCAGAACATTCTCCTTGATACCAGAACGTGTCCAATTTCTTTTGTATGAGTATTGTTTCACCTTTCTTGAACGAGAGGTCCCTGTAAACAAATTAAATAATATTATGATAACGATAAGAAAAAAAGCATTATAATTATTATCATTTAAATAGCTTGGTACACTAAAAATAGATAAACGATGTATTATGTACCAATCAATCGCAATGACACATGATTTTATAACAATTTTAGTTTCTGCCGGCGGCTTTGCCCGCGTTCCTGTTAACCTATGTGTTATTCCAAATCATAATCTACCTCTCTTCCAAATTGCATCCCGATCCCTACCGCCATTTTGACGTGAAGGAGTAACAAACAAACAAACAAACAAACAAACATACATACAAACAAACTTCTGCATTTATAATATTACTAGCTTTTACCCGCGGCTTTGCTCGCGTCACAAAAGGATAAAAAGTAGCCTATGTGACATATACTAATACACACAGCGCCATCTATACCAATACTTTTGTTTTTCCTCGGGATTATCAAATTTTTTCGGGTTAAAAAGTACCCTATTATTTAATCCAGACTTCTAACTTCACGTCTGCAAAAATTCAAAGCAATCGGTTTAGTAGTTACGGCGTGAAAGTGGAACAAACAAACAAACTCACTTTTCGATTTATAATATTAGTAAGGATGGTAAATATAGGATACTTAGTAAGTCACATTACATAATGATACTCAAATACAGACTTCTTATGCAGACTTGAGTCAACAAAATGATATTACATTTTAGTAGATAGCATAACATCACGCCTTTTATCCCCGAAGGGATAGGCAGAGCTTAATGCCACTGTACAATGTAACACACACTTTTCACTAATTATGTTATGAGTTCCATGTAATAGGGGGAGATCTATCTATCGCCATATACCGAACACAATTGAAGACTCTGTGCTACTATTGACCACCAGTATTACTTTGCCCGACCCGGGAATCGAATCCGAGACCCCTTTCCCGGCAGTCGCACTCGGCCAACAAGGCAGTTAATTTTAGTAAAATCTTTAAACATACAAACGTAAACCCATATTTTGTCCCTAAGGCATAGACAGAAACTACCAATCGTATATCGGAACACCTGGTACCAATCCTTGCATATTTCTTTAGCTTTCATCACATTCATGCATATGGTCACACAAATAAAGTAAGCGTCTTGTGTGTATAATGTGTATATACACCACAGTGCACATGTTTAGAATGACGATGTAGCACATTGCTAAGCACACAACGGATAGCCCATGACTCATACCAACATAATGCATCAAAAACGACTGCTAATTGAATATAAGTAGTTCACAGCCGCCGATCACATCAACTTTAGCGTTTATTATTATTATACCAGCAGCAGTTTATTCTCATTGACTCATGCACTTCTGGTCGCTGACAAATGACTGGCTACTTAGTATTCTAGTAACTAATTGACAGTTATTTATTTGGGAGTAAGCCATTGTAGGGTTTGAATGGATCATTGGCCATGCGATGTCACTATAACTCAGTTCTCTAATATGATAATTATACGGTTGTCTGTTATTGCGACTTAGAAAATGCTTTACGACATCGTGACAGGTAAAAATGGTTTTCTCGAGAAGTATCCAAATGGAAAACGACACACAGCACGCGATTAGAACCTATTAGATCCCCAAGTTAAGTAAACTGCCATAGAGAACCTAACGGGTAACCGGGGCTCCGGCTCGACGTGTAGGAGAAGGAACGGGGTGGTTTTTAGTTAGTAAGAGTCTGACACTCCCTCCCGCCTCACCCAGGCGGGAGCAGTCAATCGATAATTTTCCCCTCTTAAAAAAAAAAGGGCACTCGGAGAGCACGGATTGTTTGTAACATTGAGGTGACTTTAGAAATCGCCTCTCCCAAGCCGGGAGAAGCCATTGGATAATTTTGTACCCTTAAAAAAAGTAACTTGTGTTATTATGATTTAAACTGAATCGTAATGGTCTTCCATGGTAATGGTATAGGAAAACAGAGAAAATATGCAGAACTTGACATGACTTGCAAGACTTTATATCAACTATGTAAAACAGTATTTAGCTATAAAGTACTGATTTATTGGCATTCACTTTTATCGGAGGCGTTTTTAGACGTCATTCGTGAACTCTGATCACCAGTCAGCGTCACAACAAATTCTTGAATATAAAGTAAACAAATAATAAATAACTATTTCCTAACTAAGTAAACATTGTGACTCACTAATACTAATGGATAAAAAGTACAGATTTTGTTACTGAATCACCTTTTCAACAATAATAGATTTATTTATTTTAATGTCTGAAGACTGCACGGTTGGTGCGGTGGCTGAGCAAGCGGCTGCTGTGCAGCGTGCCGCGGGTTCGATTCCCGCACGGAACAACACTTTGTGTGTTCCACAAATTGTTGTTGTTGTTGTTGTTGTTTCAAGTCTGGGTTTCAGGTGTTAAGTGAATTTCTATGTTTGTAAACGCACACAGAACACAGGCGGAAATCCAAGTTGTTTAAAAAAGAAGATGTCGTCCCTTTTAAATAAAATTACGCATTTTTATCCCCGAAAAAAGGGAGCACGTATATAATTAAATATCTTCTATCCCTGTTCCAAATTTCGTCTCGATCAAACAAACAAACAAAATGAACACACACACACACACACACACACACACACACACACACACACACACACACACACACACACACACACACACACACACACACACACACACACACACACACACACACACACACACACTTTTGCATTTATAATGTTAGTATTAGTAAGATGAATTTCATTGAGGGTAAATGTTCTAATTATCATATCCTAAGTTTTTTTATGAAAGCACGTTAATTGAAATGGAAAACTCTAGTAATTACATTAACATAATTGCAAGTATAATTTCACACGCAAATTGTCAAGCTTATTCAGACAACAATATGTGAATGGAATCTTCGAACGTATATTTGTATTGCATGTAGGTAGGTACAATAGGGTAGATGGCTAATTTTTATTTCAATGCCCGTCGGTGGATTATTTAAAAAACTTGACGTAGCTACCTCCCACCCTAAACTTTGATTCGTTTTATCAACTATTGTTTTCTTATACGACTAAATAAATAAATCTTATATGTCTAATATTTTTTCATTACCTAACTGACGGACTAATTTGATTTTTAATATCTATACACTGTCATCATCTCTATTGTAAGTACACATCTAGATTACCCTTCAAAATTTTCAACCTTAACATTTTGGAATAAAGTTCAAAATCATATATGACGAATATTTCACTTAGCTTCATAAGCTCATGTCTTAGTTAGTACCTACTTAACTATTTTTTTTAAGCCCCCCTTAAAAAAAATAGTTAATCATCAAATTACTTCTCCCGCCTGGGTGAGGCCTCGACAGGAGGGAGTGTCAGACTTATTGACTAAAAACCACCCCGTTACTTCTCCTGCACGTCGAGCCGGTGCCCCCGTAAACCCGTTAGGTTCTCCACGACAGTACTTAACTATACGGGGTAGATTTATTATAACATACTAGTTTTTATCATTTATAACATAGTTTAGGGGATAGATTATGGTCTGGAATTACACACTACTATTTATACCCACGATAACGCATTCAAAGCCGCTGGCAGAAGCTAGTTCATTATATGAGGAAATATTGTATGATATTTAAACAATGAGGTCAACTTACCCTGGCTCTTTAGATATATAGTCGTACATAGCCCTTGCGTGAGGCGGTAGCTGCTTACCGCCGCCCTGAACACCTTGTAACGCCTGTAACAATATATTACAAACGTTAAGTTAACAAAATTATCAGCAACATTAAATCTTAGTATAATATTATAAATGCGAAAATTTGTGTGTTTGTGTGTATGTTTGTTACTCGATCACATAAAAACGACTGAAGGGATCGGTTTGAAAAAGGGGTTCTTAGTTTTACCTGTTATGTTTGTGCGCGATTATCTCGCGATTGGCTTAACTGATTTTCATACAGTTTTCAGAAAAGTGTTTGTTACACTTATAAGGTTTTAGTATATCAATTAACCGACTTCAAAAAACAGGCTAAGAAGTCGGTCTTATCAAATGTAGTTCATTAAACAATTATTATGTAATCTTACCTGGGAATGTCCGCTCCTTGATGTCCTTTGTCCAGTCGCCGACTTCCTCGGAGCCGAGTTCTTCATACCTTCGAGGATCCTCATGAGGAGTACGTTCGGAGGCAACTCCTCCACCTTCGCTTCCACTAACACCCTGCATTCTGGACATCGTAACTCTTTGTGCGATTCTATAATCACCTAAAATGAAATAAAACAATTTTGTTAGTTTATTTTGGAATTGCTAAAATGTTCAATTTAGAAGTTTTGTGGAAACTACTGTCAGTTTCTTTAGTTCCTTATACAGGTAACAAATCAAACACTGTCTACCCTAACGACTTCTAAGTTAGACCAAATTCATTGACTGGCTCATAGAGATACGAAGACCATTTTCATAGTGAAATTCACTAATAACTTCAGTGCAAATAAAAAGTCCACAGAGTTTAGACCCGTTTACTTTATAGTAACCAAATAATTGGTAGCAACCGGATTTTGACTCAACAGAAACGAAGGGCATTTATCATCCCACGCTAGTTGGGGCAATAAATTGAGGGAAATGAATTGTCATAGTAAAGCCCGTAGGCGATGGACCTATTCTAGTATATGATCGTGAACTTTGAGCTAGAATGATAAAATCTCTGATCTAAATGTGGACAACTTGACGATTGACGTTTTGATCAAGTTGTCCATCATTGTGGTATCCAACAAACGGACGATCTCCTTCAAGTGGTTCAAAGTAATTCTCATTAAATACAACGTGTAAGTTGAATGTCCTGTATACCAAATATACCAAAGCTTTTAGTGGTTCCTAAACAGGACTTCTCTCTCATACAGATTCAAAAACATTGAAAAATATCAATTTATATAACTTAACATTATTGTACCCAAATGTAGTGAATACAATACTGGATACAGACAGAGATATCGATCTATTGGGCTATCTGCGTAGGAGACAATAAAGCGAACAAGGTCTATGAGTCCTGGCTGTTCCCACGCTCAATTTACATCAGGTGCAAAAATTACTAAGTGCACGCACCAGTATCCTTTGGGCCACTGATACATAGACACTCCTACAACTTGAGCCAATTCTTTCTTTAATCGTTAACCATGGTCCTCGATAAGTCCGGTCAACATGCAAGTTTTCTTTTTGTTTTGTTTCTGAACCGCTGAAATGATTATAAATAGACAATATTTTGACCTGTCTAGAACTGCTGGTAGGACTTCGACCTTTTCACAAGTAAATTGACGAAAGAGGAAATCTAAAACTCCAGTTAAAATATATGCTCATAGCTCATAGTAATATCACAGAATAAAGAATGTTTTTAAATGGAAATTGTCCCTTGAGAACGAGTAATAACATTCATGAACATCACATTATTGAAATGAGAACTGAAATTGAAAATTATAATGAAAGTTTACTTTTTATGATTTACGGTAACCGCTTCAGTTAATTTCTTTTCGGTATGAAGACTGTCTGAGAAAAGGTTTAAATTATGGTAAAGTAAAATGTAGTTAGCAGAGAAGGTGATAGAGAGGTGAAATACTTTCATTGCTGCGCTGAAACAGAATTGATATTATGGGTTTGCTTCATTAAACTTCTTTCTTCTCCTATTCATCAGAGAATGGTACGTAATTAGTCATTAGCAGACACCAACGAGGTGAAATTGAACCAACCGACAAACAAATTAATACACAAAGTAGAGAACTGTAGGTAAAAACACAGACAACTTTAAAAAAATCTGTTATAATGTATTATCAAAATGGATAACCCACTCCCACAAAAATAATACCATAAAATTGTTCGCAGAAGCTTGTTGAGTCACCAAAACAATTAGCTAATGTGCTCGTGTTTGCGACTGAATTGTGTCTCACTTAATTAACGTAGGTAGTTCCTGCCAAAACGGTCAAGAACATTAAAGTTTAATATGAATGCACCAATACAATAGTTCCAGTAGAAGCAGAAAGATATATTTTCCACAGTTACGACTACTTAAGAACCATTAAAAACCTACACTAAAGTTACAAATGGACTGAAATTAGCTCATATCTACAGTTCACGTGAACTGAAATCTTATCTTAAAGATGTCTGTCTGTTTATATTATGAATCGCGTTGTGTTTTAATAATAATTTTTGCATTTTGGCAGTACCTACTTAGTTTATAGAATTGTGACAGATACAGAGGGCGTAGTGCGAGTTTTTTACTTCAACGTGATCGATACCTTACCGTTTTTACTTTTCGCCATCTGATTGGTTAATTAATTCGAGCTGGCCAATCAGAGGGCTATTATTGGTACGAGTATGTACATTTAAATTAATCGAAACGAGACCGCGTTCGCACTCAGAGTGCCAAGCACGAATAACTATCGCATTCGCAACGTAATAGTATCGAGCGCGTTCGGCACTCTGATTGGCCGGCTCCAGTGAACCAACCAATCACAGCGCCGAAAGCGCTCGATAATATAACGTTACATATTCGTGCTTGGCACTCTGATTGGTTGATTCATTGAAGCCGGTTGTCTTGCAGAAACTCGTACTAGGCACTCAGTATAGTCTACAGCTGAGACGATCTTTAAGTAGCTTATGTCTGGAGCAGTCATTACGACTTACGACATTGTTTCTATTATGACTTCATGTGTTATTTGTTGATTGTTTACTGTTGATCTAATGAGCTGGTCAGAGGTGAAATAGTCCTATCAGCTGGATATACTAATTACTAGACAATGATTCAAGGTAGAAATAAGTATTCACTCCCGGCACTTCCGATTATACTCGATGGGTAGTACCAGGTGCGTTCACTATAGACAAAAAGATATTTGAATTTATGTTATGTATCTATGTGAATAAGTAATATTATTGTATAGTTAGGTACTTAAGTACATTTTGTTTCATGCCATTACTTCTAGAGAAGTAGAGACACATAATTTTACAGGCGTGTTTTTTGTATGATATGCGTTTTTCGTCCTGTGACTTAGGTTACTAGAGACCTAATTATCCCCTTCCCCCCAAGAATACCTAACATTTCTCAAATTCCTAATCCTCAAAATGCCGGTAACGCATTTATAATGCTCCTGGTGTATCGGGTGTTCATGGGCTGCGCCGATTGTTTCCCATCAGGGTGCTCCACCTGCTTGTTTACCGGCTTATCACATAAAAAGTATCTACAATTGAAAGTTACAGTTCTACGTAGGTTCGTCATTTTAGGCAAGCATTTCAAGGCTAAACAAAGGTATCTACACAAAAAAATAAAGAAATCCGTCGATTTTATCTAATCATTCAATTATAGGCAACAGCAAGTTTAGTAAGTCAAGGTAGAATGTATTGAGGATGAACAATAACTCGTGCATAATATTCATGATATGGATAAATAGAAAGATAAAATACTTCCTGTACAAACACATTAGTCTTCTTACATGATAGTTTTATGATAAACTTATGTTCAAAATAGTTTTTATATGCGTTCCGAATACTATATCCGAGAGCTATGGCTGATGACCATGGATTCAGGATATTTAGTACCTATTCGTTAGTGTTTTACATTTGTGTAAGTAGCGTTTTCTACAAATATTCGGCTTGTTGGTACCTACATATTTGCATCGAGTGGCAGGAAAAGAAATTGTTGCAGTACATTAGCAGAACTTTAAAAAACCTACCAGTAAACTGATTGGTTTAAAATACTTTTAAATTGTATTCGAACTAAGAAATATAATTAGTGCAATTCCCATTACAAAATTCAGGACATTTGATATCACAGTACTCATGTTATCTATGTAGAGTATGTAGACAGAGTGTCCGTCCATTTAATCCAATTGCCTGTTGGCTGACTATAATTAAACTGCCCTCCAGTTGAAGATCTTGGAATCCAAAGCCAATTGTAGTGTATCTATATTCCGTAAATGCTTCCATTTGCCAAAGATTATGACCTCTTTGGCACAGGCAACATAATGTAAGTTCTTAAAAAGAAGTTGCTATATCATTGTGGTTTTCGTCGAGTCTCATTCTAGCAAAACAAATGGGTTTGATACACCATACAGTTAATTACAGTTTACGTTTATCCGGTTTTCGGTAAAAAAGTTTTATGTTGTAACAAATGATAGATTTATATACAAATTGAATGTTTTTATAGTAGCAAGGTTTTTGATTAAACCAACAACTCGATCGCAAGAAAGATATCGCACCTAATTAAATTCAGACACTCAAAGATAGATCGCATTTTTCAAATTCTCCGCTAGTTTTTTTGTATGATATGGGTATTACAATTAATGCTGTTCTTAGTATTAAAATGTACTTATCGCACTCTTATATACCTATCATAAGCACTAAATTATAGTAGATAGGTATTTTTAGGAGATAAGATTAAACACGAGAAAGTAAACGATTTCATTAATTACGTCTGATTTTTTAGTACGATTCAATTAGTTACGACTTTTGTTTTCCTTCTACACACACCGTTTAGGTTATTAAATAAAGAAAGTCGTTTTTTGACTAAATCTACGAATAAACAGAATGCTAGATTACTTTGCGAAAGTCCTTTTTAGCCTTTTAGCCATAGTCTTTGAATTACGTTTTATAAAAACTGACATTTCAAAGTAATAAATTACATTACATTAATTTCACTATTTTCCCTTTTATTTCGTTTAGAAGCACGCAAACTGAAATTACTTGAAGAACACGGCTTATGTTTGACGACATGAAACTGAAATGTTCAAACAGTTTTAGTAAGAAAATGAAGATAGTAGGTACTGACAGTTCGTCTCGTCTCGTCTGGTCTCCATCGCCCCTCAAACTTGGGTATCCACAAATAAGTAGGGTTCTTTTTGTAAATATAAATAAACAATTAAGAGCCCTAGACATTAATACACGCCAGAAACGGGGCAACCATCTATTTATACCCCGGGGCCGCCTGTAATGTACGTGGCCGAACAACCCACTGCCACGTCCGTAAGTGGGACGATTAGTGATCAATACCATTTCTAGACATGTTGCCACTGAACTATTCATAGTTTCGTTACTTTTACAAATATTGATTTAGCATTAAATGGGTCAAAATCGTTAAACAAACTGTTTGATTCTGACTTACTGATAAATAATAATCAAATTAGAATCTTAAGTTTTAAGTGAAAAGACGCTGTTTTGTGTGACTAATCAACTTTGTTACTGATAGCCGTGATAGGACTTCAATACAAGTTAAATGTATTGATGT